AAATCAATGGATCCAGGAAAGCTTGCTTTTGTTCAGAAGTATTTAGAAGATGTCCAAGACACTCGTAGCACGACGACAGAAGTAAGTGACAGTGGTTGGGCTACACACACCGCAGCATCTGAAATTGGAACCGATGAGATAAACGGTAAACTTATAATGTTATTTTATTGTTCACTTACTCAAGTTAAGCTCATATTTTAAAGTGAAAATTTTCCAATTGTCCCGTTAATGTTAGAACCATGAATTGAGTAAACATTGTAATTATGGAAAACTTTGCAACCTAAGGAAACATAAATTATACTTTAATGTGTTGATTATTTTCTTTGCAGAGAGTAGTAAACTTTGCTTGAAAGATCTGAGCTATGATATCACCATAGAATTGAGTCTAAGGCTAAAAGGTCATGAGGCTGCGTTGGAAAAATTCTATCAATTTTTTGGGCTCAAAATGGGAGGCCGGTATCCTCTAGAAGAAATTAAACAAATGTTTCCCGATACTACTGTCAGCGTGTTGAAAGAGTGTTTTGAGGCCCTACGGTTGTTGACCTCGTTGAGATTATGGAAAAAGTGAAACCACGTTCCCTTCGTCCTGCTGTTTCCCCAGAACAAATAGAAAAATTGCGGAGAGCNTTGTACGATCTCGTTGAGATTCTGGAAAAAGTGAAACCACGTTCCCTTCGTCCTGCTGTTTCCCCAGAACAAATAGAAAAATTGCGGAGAGCAGATGATCGGCCCACAAAGTATCACAGTAATGTGGCAGTCTTGGTTGTCGATCATACTGTCGAAGAGGACCTTGTTGGAAGGGAAAACGCAGAAAAGATTGAAACATCTTTTAAAGATCTGAATTCGCGGAACAAAGTGACGATAACATCATTGGCTAGTTCACAAGAGACCCGAGAGTTGCTGATGGAGATAAACAAGAGAAACTGCGGAATAGGAAAGAAACCTTTGTCTGAGGTAACCCTCGAGAGGGTTCTTCAAAAGAAGGCGCGTTTAGAGAAGGAATTGGAGAAAGTAATGCAGATGGAGAAAGAGCGTAAACAAAGACTGGGTGAAATGGTCCTGGAACAGCAACTGAGTGAGATTAAACAGCAAGAGCTGTGGCTTCGAGGTGAACTGGAAAACGCTGCAAAAGTGAAGAGGGATATCGAAAAGCTGCAAGAGTTAGAGAAGGAGAGTACGAAAGATATATCAACGGCTATGGACAAATGGATTCACAATCAAGGTTAGTTGACTTTATATACATACACACATTTTATTCAAATAAATTCGAAAAGGGAGTTTTCATATAACTCTCCTAAAAAAAGAACAAAAGTTAGAATTAAAATTACATTAAAAATTATTGAACGAAGAAATTAAAATGAAAAATCTATTTGGTAAATTACAATGTTAGAAATCATCCGCGTCTTAATTTAAAGAGTTTGAGGCTTCCCGCTTCAACAATGTTCTTAGGTAGACTGTTCCAATCACCAGCCACTCTAATGAAAACGGATCTTTAAAACAGTTGATTCTAGTTGATTTAAAGAAAAGTTTACATGAGTTTCATAAGCATGTTTAACGTACGTAGCGAATAAAGATGATTTCCAAGTATTACAAAGCCACTAATTCAAACTGAATAAAACTAGATATCTGTGCCTCGACGAAAATCAAGTTATGCTATCTACTATCTGTTGCATTATTGTTCAATCTCATTTAAGGTTTGTTATCATTTCTTCTAAATTGAACCATTTTTTGCAATCATTTAGCCATAGTCGGTGGAGGAGGTACCCCGAAATGAGGGCTTGTGACTTCCGTGATGTATCTATTGCTTCCCTATGTTCTTGGTGTTTTTGATTCCCTGAGATGACCTTTGATTTATTTTTTTAATTTTTTTTTTTCTATAGAGAAATTTACCTGTGTTGTGGTATTTATAATCAGTGAAGACGAGTTGTACACTGAAGAGGTTTTAAAGGAACGTGTTGTTGAGAAGTTGGCATTAATTCCAGATCATGCCAAACTCGTGGTTAGCGCCCACGCCAGGGGGAAAAGCATAGTTGAAGTTCCCGAAACTCTTCATGTAGTGTACCACGATCGTGGAGACGTACCAGTCCTCACTCGGATGATTGAGATTTTCAACAA